GAGGGGCCTCCGAGACCTCGGCGGGCATCCACCACCACGCAATTTCCAACCCCACCAGCCTCTCAACCACTGTCCGCACCTCCAACCACCCCACCAAAGCCAGCCCGAGCCAAGCCGTGAGCCACGACGAGGGCCCCGCGACGATTTTAGTGTCTTGGGGTGGGTGCTCTGTAGCCACCGTTTCGCGGTTTCTCGTGCACGTTTTCGCATTAGGAGTAAAGCGCGGAAAGATTTCGCGGGGCGGCGGCGTCGACCGCCTCCGGTTTACGCGAGTTTTCTACGCGCGCAACAGAAGCATCCACGAGGGAACGCGTGTCCTACTTACCCACGAGCAGTTGCGACTCCCTTGTGCGCTCCTTTCGGGCCACTGCTGCTGCTACTCTGTCGCTACTTCGCGTCGGAACGTTTCGCGTAGTACGGAGACCGTCCGCCTGGCTGGCTCGCCTGCGTCGTTCTCGATCTTCACCGCGGCGGCAGCAACTTTCTCATTTCTACGTACACGTTCTCAGCTGCTGCTGTGCCACGGCTCTACTGGCTAAGCCACGGCTACTTGCTTACGGTGCATACGTCATACGAGACGTACGTTCGAACGAGCGTGTCTTTCGACGGGACGAGTCGTGACTCGCGATAAATTCGCGCACTACTGCCAGTCTTTCCGCGGTAACGACGAGCCACGACGCGCACTCATTTCCGGGTTTACGACGGTCGAGCTCGATCGAGTATGGCCCCCGGTTGGTAGGTAAGCGTGGCTCTCTCGGGCCGGCCAACGGGGAATGAATTCGAGCTAACGGTACATAGCCACCCGACGGTGGTCACGCGTTAACTCGAAGCGCCGCGATGCCAGGCCACTCTCCTGAAAACCACGAGCTGTGAAAGTAGACACCCTCCTTCGTTCCGGAAGGAATCACCGACTTCGAACCGAACGATCTCGTCTTACCGTCCTCGACGAGCGCATTCCTATTTTCCAGTCGATCAAGAAAAATTACGTTTAACCGCGAAAACTTGCGCCGCTATTAATATTCTAGCGGAGAAATATCAACTATGGCGGCGGTTACGCGCGGAGTATATTGTGAGAGCGAGGGGAAAGCGGCGCGTGCGCGCTAGCCGATTAAACAGCCAACTCTTATGGTACCGTTCCAATTACAGGTACTAGAATGATTTTTTTATAGTTTTACGAGAATCACCAACTTTCCAGAGAAATTAATAACAGCGCAAAAAACACCTGTCCGTTGCTCTGTCCTGCTCTTAGTCACTTCGTTTCCTCTACCACTACAGAGCGACACTAACTCCGTGCGCACCTAGCGGAGACTGAAGTGAGGTTAGGTCGAGAATCGATATTTCGAGACTGTTTCGATAGACGCCATATCTTCGAATTATTGCGCGCTATATATGAATTGTTTAGGGTAAAGTAGCGAAAATGGTGGATTTACCTAGGGATAATCGCGGTGTAGGGAAAACTGGCTATAACTTTATTACTAATTTTACAAACTTACAAATTTTAAAATTTCAATACCTGTAAATTAAGAAATTCGGGAAATATTAACATTAAAGAATTTTTAATCTTAGAAATTTGTAGAGTTGAAGATTTAAAAATTTTTAGATCTGAAAATTCGGAAACTTGGGATTTGCAAATTTAGAACTCTGAAAAACTTGGAAACGTAGATATTTCTAAATTCAAGATTTTAGAAATTTGGAAATTTCAAAGTTACGATGTTAGACAGCACATAGATTCGGAAATTTAAAAACTTAAAAGTTTAAAAATACGGAAAATTTCAGGTTTACATATTTGATTGCCAAAATTACATTAATCCTTATCTATCTGAAGGAAGCCTACATTACACACAAGTGTACATTATAATTTTTTTGATCTTTTGTTTTTTTTTCTTCGTTCAATAAAATTTGTAATTGTAAAACAATATATTAATAATAAAAATAAATAAAAGAAGACCAGCATATGTCTTGTTTTATAACCTTTCTTTTATTATAAATATCAGTTATGCCATGATTTCATGGTCTCAAAATACTTGTGATTTAATCAATGTCCATAATAAAAATATAATCGATTGACAATAAGTTGCTTAGAAATAAAAATTTAATATATTTGTATGTTATAATATAATGTATTAATGAAATATAAATTATCAATAATTATTAAATTTATCGTATTATAAATCATGATCAAATTCATTAATCACAACTATACAAATTCTAATTCTATACCTTCCTAGTTGCATTATTGTTTGACATAAAATTTTAAATATATATCTTTCTGTTGTATGTACAACTGAATCATAAATTAATTTTATAATAATAAATAATTACATCCTGTAATCATTAATAATTTTCTTTATACTATACTTTACCAGATTTTTAATGACACAATAAAAATGTATTGTAAAGGAATGAAGAGATGACATGCAATAAAATGCTTAATAATTAAAGCCTATAATCTGGAAATAGGGATATCAAAACGAGTCAGATGATCTTTGTACACGTTCCATATACAAAGAAAATAACAATTTGTTACTTTCATAATAAAAAGGGTTTTCATTAGCATCCAGATCAGGTTTATATTCAGTTGTGTAACTACTTTGGCTAGAACTACACCCGTCATATAACGGCGATCCTTGAGAAAGGTCTGAATAATTTGGCGATGGCATAAAGCCTCTACCACTACAATCTGTATCCATGGTCTCGCTCATACATTCTTGCATGCCTGATAAACTGTTAATGCGAAGATTGTTGATTCTTTTGCTCAATGGCATAAATTCACTAGATTCTTCTTCTGCATCGCGCCCTCGTTTTCTAAACATCACGAAAAAAATATAAATTAGTAGGATAAAATATTTATTCTATAATATTTGTACACATTAAACAGGAATCGAGTTTCTTCACTAATACACTAACAAAAACTAACCTGTTAGATCGAGTCATTCTTGAATTAACCTGACCTTTCAGTTCAGAAGGTTTCAATGAAAATATATCTTTAACCACTGCATATTATAATTTTCTAAATTTGTTTGTTGCTAGAATGATAAATTTCGTGCTTTATCCAATTTATGTATACGTCATACACGTTTGTCAAGAAAACAAAGCTTGATTACACAAATCAGCAGAATGCTTCAATATTCCTGTGGACCGCAGTTCGACTTTCAACAGTCAGAGAGCGTAAGTGACATGTTTTAACTGAATTTTTACACACAAAAATAAACAATGCAATTTTACATTATAACAGTTTATGATTGTTTAAAAAAAAGAAGCTTGACATTAGATTTAATCTATTCGTGGTAAATTATTCCTTTGTTATAATTAAACTGTGTTCTCAAAAACATGGTTCTTTTCAACGTTTAAATTCTTAATTAATCTATGATAACTACTTACTTTATACAATTGTAAGAGAATCTTGGGAATTAATTAATTTAATAAGTTGAAAAAAATATTACGTTACCGTCGTGTTTCCTTGTTTTCTAATTGTATATCAATGCGCGCGTCGAAAATAATAGCACTGGCACTATCTGGTGACAATTAAAGGAACTATCCCGCCCGAAAATGTTTTTTTAAAAATAAGTGATTTTTACGATTTCTTAGACATTTCACAACTTTATTGTATTTTAAGTAATAACAACGTAGTTGTTTAACGTACTAAAATCAATAATTTAAACAATTATATATTATCGCTAAACAACTTATAATATTATACAATTGTAGCGGACTTTAAAAACATTTCAAAATATTCCTCCCAAAATCGAGAATTGCGGAGGAAAGCTTTCATAATATACGAAAAATCCGCATAAAACTGAAAGTATAACAAGAGTCCATTGGATTATGTGTAGAAGTATTTATGAAATTTCTATTAAGCCCACAAATATCTTTATTTTCGTCCTCCTACAGTTTTAGAATCGGGCCTCGCAAATTTTCTCGCCAGCCCTGATTGAATGAATTGTAGTTTATTCGAAAGTCGAATGAACACCGACTGACTGTGAGACTGACAAGTTGCGTATAAAACGATGTTGTGATGTACAAACAAGTTGCGATGTAGAAGAACGGTATATTAATTGTTCGCTTTAATTCTCACATAACGTGTCACGAAAAGATTCAAAATAATTATAAATGGTAGAAAGTTTAAAAATGTATATGAACCTATACAGATGCAATATACTTTAAACTTGATTAACAACGGGGTTAAATTACTTGTCAGATTTTAAGAAATAAACCTTGTATGAATTTTAAAAAGTACAACAATGTCTTTTCTACGTGGTTCGGCAAATTTTGTTTGGTGTACGACCAGTGTTCTTGGTAAAGGTGCAACTGGTGCAGTTTTTCAGGGTGTAAATAAAAACAATGGTGAACCTGTAGCTGTTAAAACATTCAATCAGTTGAGCCATATGCGTCCTCCTGATGTACAAATGCGGGAATTTGAAGTTCTGAAAAAAGTAAATCATGAAAATATTGTTCAATTATTGGCAATTGAAGAAGAGCAAGATGGTCGTGGTATGGTCATTGTTATGGAACTTTGTACTGGGGGTAGTTTGTTCAATATATTAGATGATCCAGAAAACACGTATGGACTAGCTGAAAGTGAATTTTTGTTAGTTTTGGAACATTTGACAGCTGGAATGAAACATTTACGTGATAATAACTTAGTACATAGAGATTTAAAGCCAGGTGAATAATTTTTTTATCGCTGTCAATTGATGTTTCAATGTAAATATATGTTACATTTATATAAATACCACTTTATTATTCTCTTTATAGGTAACATAATGAAATTCATTGCGGATGATGGCAGCACAATTTATAAACTTACTGACTTTGGAGCTGCTAGAGAATTGCAAGAAGATCAACAGTTTGTATCACTTTATGGTACAGAGGAATATTTACATCCCGATATATATGAAAGAGCAGTTTTACGTAAACCAGTTGGAAAAACATTTGGAGCAACTGTGGATTTATGGTCTATAGGTGTAACATTATATCATGTAGCTACAGGAAATTTGCCATTTAGACCATATGGAGGACGTAGAAATAAAGAAACAATGTTTTACATCACTACAAAAAAATCTTCTGGCGTTATATCTGGTATACAAACTTCAGAAAATGGACCAATTGAATGGAGCAGGGAGTTACCACAAAATTGTCAGCTGAGTGTTGGTTTAAAAAAAATTGTTACTCCATTATTGGCTGGCCTATTGGAAGTTGATCCTCAGAAAATATGGAGCTTTGATCGTTTTTTCACTGAAGTTACTGATACTCTATCCAGAAAACGTATACATATATTTAACATACATAAAGGTAGTTTGATAAAAGTTTTTTTGCATCCTGAAGAAAAACTGACAGCACTTCAAGTACATGTACAAGATCAAACTGATATTGCACCACATGCCCAGATACTTCTTTTTGGAGATGTATTTTTAACAAATATCATTGAAGAATCTACACCTGGGAAGGGTTATCCAAATACATGTGAAAAAAAACCATTAATGCTCTTTTCTAAAGAAAATAACAATGTTAATTTACCCATGGACACAGAATTGCCTAAATTTCCGGTATTTGCAAATTTAGTATCTGTAGAAAATGATGCTAGTCAAGCGAAGACTGCTTGTTCAGTTGGTTATGTATGCAAAAGAAGAATTGAAAGACTAGTATTATGTAGTAAATTATCACAGGATGCAATAGAAGCTTTCAGTGGATATGTATTAAAAGAACTCACACGATTATTAGAAAAATGTCAGCGTTCCAAAGAATTTACTAAAGCTATAGAAGATACAGCAATAGTGGTAGAAAGAAGTGAAAACCTTGCTCGACAAATATCTAGGAAACTTGGAGGTCAAAATAGCTTAGAAGTAAAAAATTGGAAAAAAGAATTAGATTTAAAAAGTAAAGAACTTTTAACTGAATTAGCTCCTGCAATAATGCAACTTCATCAAAGGTAATTAATTATTACTATTTTTTTTTTATAATTTTAAATAAATGCATTTTTAAATTCACTTTCATTATTTTAAATATAGATATGTGAAGGAAGGTAGTTTACGAAGTGAATGGGACAATATTATTCGCGGATTATGGTGTCCATGGGTTAATAAAGCAAGTCAAAAGGCAACAACTTTAGTTGACCGTTTGCGAGATGGCTGGCAACATTTATTACGGGACAGAGCTACTCGGAATCTTACGTATAATGATGAACAATTTCATGTCTTAGAACGAATAAAGGTAATTGTACCAAAATTAATATATTACAACGTTATGGTGTAAGAATATATAACGTGATAAAATTTATATCATCCGCTTAATATGTCCTCAGGTTACAGAAACAGGTCAAAGACTCAAGAACCTTCTTGAAACATTTTGTGTACCCTCCATGGTAAGCAGATCTGAATGTGTTGCTGATTGGTATAAAATGGCACAAACAGTCTTCCTACAAACTCAAATTTTAGATAAAGATGTAGATAATTATGAACATATATTGGAAACGTATTCTTATCGTTTGTCTCAAGACAGCAAAGAACGTTATGAAAATTTCTTAGATTTAATAGACAGACTTCCAGGAAAATTAAAAACCGTTGAGAAAACTAATTCACCCGCTCAAGAAAATACAAAGAAATGGAAAAATATGTGTGTTATGCAAGAGCGAATTTCAATGATTCTATATAAAAATGGTTTACTTATAGATGAAATTGATCGTTTATCAGCACTTGATAATGTTGAAAATACAAATGATTCCGAGTACACATCACTTTAACGTTTAATTTATACAGATTTTCTAATTTTCATGGTAGTAAGACTGACAACATGTACAGAGTGGAAAAAAATGATATGTCACATATTCCAGATCTCTGGATCGATCAAGATCTAAAAACAAGTGATTGTAAAATTGACCTTGACTCTCAAGCTACTTTTGTTTATAGATCTATACTGATCCGGAGGTGTAGAATCACGCTCTGCGGTTCACGACATATTATTGTTTTCTATTCTGTACAGAAAATCCAAAAAGTATTGTAGAAATATAAGAAAGAGACAGTGTACTCAAGTACATTCTATTTTATTTGTTATGTTTGAAGAGAATATCATGATTTAATTATGATTTATGTTTTTAAACAAAACACTATTACAGTTTGCCCAATCACAATTTCATCTATGATATTCTCTCTTAGAAGGAAAAAATTTATTTGAATAAGTCGTAAAAGAAGGGTATACAAAAGTTTTTCTTTTGTTCTATAAAAACTGTATCATAAACTTTATTAAGATATTATATATATAACGATATGCCCACGCTATTTTTATGTATTTGTAATGTATGTACAAAGTCAATAAATATTTATTGTAAAATTAAAATGTACAAATGTTTAGTTTATATATTTAACATTTAGCTATATTCATCGAATATAATTATTGAACGTGATTAAAAAATAATTTATTTTACATTACAAACTTTGGTAATAGTTATGTTTATTATATATTTTGTTGTACGCAATAATTTTGCGATATAAATGATAATAAATGCGCAATTTTTTTACGTAAGTACGTTCATACGATAAAAGAATTTAGAACTATATAAAAATGAATTTACCTTCATAAAAATTAATACTTATATTCGTAATAAATTTTTAAATAGAAAAATGTTATTTACATATCCGCATGATTTACATTTTTTTCTATTAAATTTGTTAATCTCTGTTTACGTTTTTGTTCTTTATGTTGTTCTTGAACAGTATGAAAGTGTTTCAACAATTCTGGAAAGTCAAATACGTATTTAAATGATTTCGGACTTGATTCCGTTCCTGGTATTGATTTTGTTGGAGGAATTGCTGCTAAACGTCTTTGTAAAGTAGCATATGCTTCACTTTGAGGAAGAATCATAAGCAAACCATAAAGTGCATATACCAAGGCATCGTTTTTTTCTCTTTCTAAAAGTTGTAATCTCAAATCTAAAATACATAATTTTTATGTAAATATAATTGAGATACAATAATGATTCATTATACTTACATGTAAATATTGGAGACTCAATCAATTGTACAAGTTTATCTATTTCTGTGAGAAATTCTACAGTAACTTCTATGTTTTCGCTATATTTACTTTGAGTTAAGTAGTAATAAAAGTTTAATGCTAAAAAACATTACATTAACTAAAGAAAAGGATACAATGATCTAATAATATTACAGGCATGACCATAATGTTGAGATAAAAAGCATAATGCTACAGTTGCAACAGGATTGTGGCACCATGATACATAGAGACATTTAAATAATTCACAGCTTTCCTGTAACAGTGTATACAGTTAAACCAATAATTAAAACTATTAAAAGTGTACCGAATAAATGACAATACATACCAATGAATCTAGATCTTTAAGTTTATTTCGTAAATCAAATAACTCTGAGCTTGTTAATAATATGACATTTAAAGTTTGAATCATTGTACATGCAAAACTTAAATTCGGTTCATCTAATAATATTTTTGCTAATGTTTTATAAATATCTTCAGCACTTAACAATACGCATAATTCTCGGATAATAAAAGCACCCCTTTCCTCTAACAAATGTCGGTCAGTGGAGAATAACCTTAATAAATTTACAATAAATTTCGTAAAATATTTGTTCTGCATTTCTGCATTTAAATCAGTAGTAGCTGCCTCAGGAGATTTTGAACTAATTATTTCAGCCATTACAACTAATGTTTGTTGCACCACTTCATCAGAATTATCACTTAAGGATTTCATTAAAATTGGAAACAAATTTTCAATGTGATTAAACATTTTATGTGGAATGTTTATAAATAAGTGATGAATCCATTTTAAAACAGCAACTTTTGTTTGTACTGACATATACATTAAATGTTTTGTCAGCACTTCAACAACACTAGACAAGTCTAAACTTTCAGCTAAGGAACAATTTTGACTAGAATCTAGAAAAAGTAAATTTAAATGTATTATTGTTTTTAAAGCCTACAACAATTTTTCTTTAAAGAACTAAAACAAACATAACTACCTTTTTGAGCTTGATCAGTTTCACCAGCATTATTTACAAGTTGTGTGTTTTCCATTGTTACAAGCTTCATTAGGTTCGCATTTACTTGCGTTGCAGTTTCTTTAATAGACTTTCTCGTGTCCCCATCATATGCTAAACAAGGTAATACTGCTATAAGAATACCGGACATATAAGGAAGCATAAGAGGTCCTGATAAATGTACAAATTCTTTAATCCATGTTATTGCTGTTAACTGTAATAACTCATCTGTACTTTGTGCATGTGTAATTAAGATATTTATCATTCCAGGAAAATCTACTCTTCCTGGATTTGCCTTTATACTACGCAAAAATTCACCAAGAACTGTATCTGTAACTTTCTTAATTTCTGGTGTTGGATCTTCTAATATCTTAAATAGACCATCAAGAATCTCAGGCAGAAAAATAATAAAATCCATATTAGGAACAGCATCTAAGACTGATACCCATGCTATCACAAATTGCCTACCAAATGGATTTTTAGTATAAATACGTTCTCGTAGTAATGGCATAAATCCAACTAAATCAAACAGGCCACTCTCTGTTACAATATCCTAAAATTATATTTAAAAGAAACAAATATTTGTAGTTTACATTTTATTCTTACTATACAAATTTGAATTACCTTCATAAGTCTATCCAGCAATTCAGTAGCAATTTTTACATTTTGTTCAGAATCACATGCTAATTTACTAAGTGCTGCAAAAATATCTGTAAACTGCGGTAATACAGCACCTCTTGCTACCTTTACTACATTATACAAACTTTCACAGGCATAATATCTTACACGCAAATCAGAGTCGCAGAAACAAGCTAGGATAGGGTGAATTAAATCTTCTATGTATTGACCAGTATCTTTTCCCAAACCAACTGCTATTGCTGCCAAGCCTATCAAACCACCTTTTCTTGTATGTGGATTTTGTGAAGTAGCAAAATCTTGACCTAGTACTTTTAAAAGTCTTTTGATTTGAACAGTGTTATTATGTGCAGCAAATTCTTTTACCATTCTGAAATAAAGTACAAATAATATAAAATGACAAAACTAGTATTGCAAGTAAATACTACTGTACAAAATATATAACCTTACTTTTCTATCTCCAAAGCAGCTGGCTTTCTTTTTTCATAAAGTTTGTCATTAAGAGAACGTACACAAGCATTACTAAGCGGAGCATAATCTTTTTCAGACATCATTTTTACGTGTCACGTTTTACATTAAAAGAAGGTTCATAAAAAATATTCGAAGATGTGACAGCTGACACTATATTACTTCAAACTCAAATTATCATCAGATATGAATATTTTTCACGCATGCGCATTAAATCTAATAGCATTGTTACTTTGCCAAGTATACCATTGATTATATAATATGTAGTCGGGCTTAGATTGGAAATTGCCAATTATTAAACGTGTGACCAATCCCACAGATAACTCTAGCGAACAACCATTGCATTATCTAACCTAAGAGTGGGAATGCAGCAAGTGTCGGTACCTTTGTACATGTTTATTTTTAAAAGCAAATTGATATATCGTGTATACTAGGTCTGTTTGATTAGGCGCTCCGCGCCTAACCTAACAATGTTGAGCGAGCGAGTACATTTCACACTAAAGCAAAAATAGTCAACCGTGTCATCCGGTTGAATTGGTCGAGTGGTGCAAGAGAAAAGCGTGGACAAAAAAGTTGAAAAGTCAAGTACATAAGCGCGAGCAAATTCAATTTTGCATTAAAGTCTACGAGGATATGGTTTTTCGGTAATTATTCCTCCGCGGCATGCGCGAGCGGTGCATAGGAGGAATATATACGACAATGAGTATGCAAAATCGTTAATTACTCACTTTCTGAGCACAGTTTATGCACTTTTATGATTAAAGAATGGTCAGCAATGCATTATTTACATGGTTCGATCATAAAAGTTCATAAATAATGTTCGGGTAATGAGTAATTAATTATTTTGTGTCAGCATTGCGATACGTACATGAGCCGCCTATGTCAATTCTACTGCGCGTGCAAAGTGCAATATTTCGGCACTTTGACGACGTAGTATGGTTCCTGAGGCATTTAGAAACAAATTTCTATTAGGGTTTGATGCGTTTTGATGCCTAATAAAGCCAG